CTTAACGGGACACCTGTATATATTATGTTACTTTTTGGCGCCGTGATTCCCCGGGCATTCAAGTAAAAATCTTCAGTCGCTATTGAACTGATACCGCGTGTGTCTCCTTTTAGCTTTCAATGCGGGAGGTATACAGGAGGTGACAATCAAAAAATCCTAGAAACTTCGTATCGCGTCTCGCTTTTAATTGCGAAATGTGGTGCCAAAATAATGGCAGAAGTAATGATAGGTGATAAAGCAAAACAAACTCTTGATCGTGTACCCTTGTCAAATAATACAGTTCATCGCCGAATAATTGATATGGCCAATAATGTGAAACATATGTTATTGTTTGATATTTCTCAAAGTCGTTATTATGCATTACAAGCGATGAGTCCACTGATATCACAAATTTTGCAAATCTTATGGCGTTTGTTAGATATGAAAAAAACCAAGAAATTCACGACTTTTTATTTTCCCAGCCTTTATTAGGTCATACAACAGGAGAAGATATCTTTAACGTTATGAATAAATTTATGCAAGATAACAAAATTAGTTGGACTAAATGTGTTGGAATAAGTACAGATGGTGCAAAAAGTATGGTCGGCATTAATAAAGGACTCATTGCAAAAATTCAGAATGTTGCACCAAATGTCAAGTCCACACATTGTTGCATTCACAGAGGCTTTAGCAACACGTAAGATGCCTGCTGATCTGCAAAAAGTTCTTGATGAAAGCGTGAAAATCGTTAATTATATTAAAGGTCCTTTAAACGCAAGACTTTTTGCACAAATGTGTGAAGAAATGGGAAGCAGCCATACCCAACTGCTTTTTCATACTGATGTACGTTGGCTATCTCGGGGAAAAATTTTAAGTCGATTATTTGAACTGAGACAAGAATTTCAAGTTTTTCTTAATGATAAATTTGAACTGAAAAAGTGTCTACATGACTCAACGTGGCTATCCAAATTGGCATACTTAGCAGATATATTCTCTATTTTAAAAGGACTCAATTTATCATTACAAGGTAAAGATATTTCATTGTTTCATGTCCAGGACAAAGTAAACGCTACAATTGAAAAATTAAAGTTATGGAAAACTAGAGTTAATAATGGAGAGCTAGACTCGTTTCCCTCTCTTCATGAGTTTGTATAATATAATATTTATTTTTTGGTTGATGCTAAAGAACATTTTTTTAAGGAGGGGTACTGGAAGTTTTGATAATTACAACAGGGGTACATATATGCTGAAAGTTTGGGGAACACTGGTCTAGGTAGTAACACTAGGATAAACCCAATTGATTCTAGTTCTAGGTCTAGTGTTAACAACTAAAACTATTCTTCATATACATTTTATTACAACAACAGTTTACATTGCTATAATTGCTGTCATATGATGAGGGCTTACTTCAAATGTTGAGGGCGATTTTTTATAATTAAAAAGAAAGAGCTTTCGCCTGCACTTTTTGATAATTACAAGATTTATTATGGTAGATGTAGGAAGGTGCGTATTGCCAAAATAGTGATGGTCGTGTATAAATAATATTGTAAAAGACATTGATTTTTCAACGCCCGTTTCGTCAACAATTAACATTTTGCACTCTATGTACTTTCTTCATGTTTGGATATTGGAACTATACAGCTGTGATATAGAATATTAAAACTGTTGTTGAATTAGTTTTAGTTCAGTATTTATATGATTTCTTTATTATTAATAATTTAAAATAACAGGATATATATTTATACCTTATAAAGTCTATATATTGAAGTGACAGTGTTATGAAATTGTCTTGAATGAGTGGAATTCAGAGGAGGTGTTTATTGAACAAATTTAAAATTAGATATTTTGTATTTACCATTTGCAAATTGTAACTTTTTTTTAAGAAATCTAATTTTTGAACCAACGTAATCAAAATAGTTCATTAGTTTCTGTTCTCTTAATTCATTACCAATTGAAATAATAAATTAAAAGGTAAAAATTTAATTAAAACATCGCGAATGATCGATTTCTTTCAAATAAGATTTTGTCATTTTAAATCCTACTTTTCTAGCTGCATTTTGTGCTGCCTCAAGTACTGCTTTATTTGGATTCTTTTTTCTCGTTCCAATAAACAACATTCCTCTATCGGCTTCTTCTGGTTTGCAAAGATACCCTGTCGCCCAATTTTCGTAATCAGTATCTACTGTCCAACCGCTTTCACCTTTCTGTCCCTCTTTCCAATCGACTTTATATTCATTATCACAATTTTTTACTTGATGTATTTTGAACATTTCAACTTTGGCAACAAAACCGGTTACGTTGTAGATTCTAAATACAGTTAGAGTTACACCAGATTTATTTTTATTAGAAACAAAGCTGTACATCAAACATTTCCTTGAGCTTTCATCGCCATCTAAATCACCAACTTGTTGAGCATACCAGATACCAGTTATCTAAAATAAGATGATTTAAACAAGTTTAAAAATATGTAATACAAGATTTTTTTGATACTTTTTCGACGTCAAAGTGCTTAATTGGTGGTATCTTGTAGCATCTTTCATCTGCCGCATCAATGAAAATATAAATTGGGCTTAGAAATACTAATAAATATAGTACAATATAGTTTCTGGTCATATTGGGTATAAATTGCGTTTAAAATTACAGTAAAAGCTTTCGTGTTTATAATATATGAACCTTTTTAAATGAAAAAAATGATCGTTAAAATAATGTTAATTGGATTTTTTGTCGTTTTGATACTAAATAAAGTAACGAGTTTCAAGTTACAACAATCATTTTTAATTGCGATTTTATAAAACCTACTANCAGTAAAAACTTTCGTGTTTATATGAACCTTTTTAAATGAAAAAAATGATCGTTAAAATAATGTTAATTGGATTTTTTGTCGTTTTGATACTAAATAAAGTAACGAGTTTCAAGTTACAACAATCATTTTTAATTGCGATTTTATAAAACCTACTATTTCTTGCAATTTTTCTTAATGTCGCTATTATGTATTATTATTATATTATAATTTTGACATATTTGTAATCTTCATTAAAAATCCTTTAAAATGAGTACAAACACGACATATTTATCTTCAATATTAATGAAGTTATGGTCAACTTTCGGTTACAAATGTCAACGTCAATTTTGACATATTTAAAATGAGTCCAAACAAGATACCAAGGTCCGTTGAATAAACATGCTGTATAAGCAAGGTCCGTTGTGTAAACATACTGTATAAGGTTATCCAACTCCATATGAACGCTGTTGTTATGAACGTATCCCCCCCGCAAAGGCCTAGCTGTGACGTCATTGGAAGAATTGACATTTATATGTTTTTATTTACAGAGTGTATTTCACTTAAGAAGCAATATACGAAAATATCAAAATGTAAAAAAAAAGATAATACAAAATTAAAAAAATATTAAAATATAAAGCGAAACATTAACGGTTATAATTTTATTATTGTTAGGTTATCCAACTTGACTCGGTTACCATGGTGATTAAGATCCAAATATTGCAGGTGCTTGTCAAAATTGAATTTAAGTTTTTTTTAAGGAAAAAGTCTTATTTAATTGGTTTGAAAGACTGTACTTAAGTCAAAATTGGTTTATCCACGGTATTATAAATAAGGTAAGTGGATTAAATAAAAAAAAGATATTTTTAATTAGGTTAGAATTGATAAAAAAATCGGAATAAAATTTTATTATTTTAAGGTTATCCAACTTGACTCGGTTACCATGGTGATTAAGATCCAAATATTGCAGTTGCTTGTCAAAATTGACGTTCAATTTAAGGTTTTTTAATGAAAAACACACAATTAATATGATTTAAAAGTTGTATCTAATTCAAAATGGGTAAATGGATGAAATTATAAGCAAGGTAAGTGGATTAAATCAAAAAAAAATATTTTTAGATCAATTAAAGTGTACAAGAATTTAGGGTTAAATAACAATTAAAACTAGACCTAGCACTAGAAAGTTTTAGGTTTAGCCGGACTTAGACAAGAACTTAGAAAAGTCTGAAGACACACGGCTAAACCCGAACATTTCTAGTTCTAGGTCTAGTGTTAGTTCTAGTTTTACACTATCACTAGAACTAACACAAAACCTAGAACTAGACACAGTCGGGTTTAGTTGTGAAAAAAACTTACAATTTATTGTCAATGTCTACTTTAATTTTATTATTATATTCGTAATCTTCATAAAATAACCTTTAAAGTGTCTAACTAAAAAGTTAGAATAAAAAACGTTAAACCCGAAGTTAGCAACTATGAAAATAGCAATTTAATTTTTAAATATTAATACCAACCTTAATTTTTATTTTTTTGTGACAAATATTAAGATATTTTATAAAAATTAAGAATATGTCAAAATGACATTGACATTTCAAATCGAAAGTTGCTTATATCTCGAGTAATATTGGAATGAAACGTATCATGTTTGGGCTCATTTTAAAGGATTTTTCACGACGATTACAAATATGTCAAAATTGACGTTGACANAAGAGCTTTCGCCTGCACTTTTTGATAATTACAAGATTTATTATGGTAGATGTAGGAAGGTGCGTATTGCCAAAATAGTGATGGTCGTGTATAAATAATATTGTAAAAGACATTGATTTTTCAACGCCCGTTTCGTCAACAATTAACATTTTGCACTCTATGTACTTTCTTCATGTTTGGATATTGGAACTATACAGCTGTGATATAGAATATTAAAACTGTTGTTGAATTAGTTTTAGTTCAGTATTTATATGATTTCTTTATTATTAATAATTTAAAATAACAGGATATATATTTATACCTTATAAAGTCTATATATTGAAGTGACAGTGTTATGAAATTGTCTTGAATGAGTGGAATTCAGAGGAGGTGTTTATTGAACAAATTTAAAATTAGATATTTTGTATTTACCATTTGCAAATTGTAACTTTTTTTTAAGAAATCTAATTTTTGAACCAACGTAATCAAAATAGTTCATTAGTTTCTGTTCTCTTAATTCATTACCAATTGAAATAATAAATTAAAAGGTAAAAATTTAATTAAAACATCGCGAATGATCGATTTCTTTCAAATAAGATTTTGTCATTTTAAATCCTACTTTTCTAGCTGCATTTTGTGCTGCCTCAAGTACTGCTTTATTTGGATTCTTTTTTCTCGTTCCAATAAACAACATTCCTCTATCGGCTTCTTCTGGTTTGCAAAGATACCCTGTCGCCCAATTTTCGTAATCAGTATCTACTGTCCAACCGCTTTCACCTTTCTGTCCCTCTTTCCAATCGACTTTATATTCATTATCACAATTTTTTACTTGATGTATTTTGAACATTTCAACTTTGGCAACAAAACCGGTTACGTTGTAGATTCTAAATACAGTTAGAGTTACACCAGATTTATTTTTATTAGAAACAAAGCTGTACATCAAACATTTCCTTGAGCTTTCATCGCCATCTAAATCACCAACTTGTTGAGCATACCAGATACCAGTTATCTAAAATAAGATGATTTAAACAAGTTTAAAAATATGTAATACAAGATTTTTTTGATACTTTTTCGACGTCAAAGTGCTTAATTGGTGGTATCTTGTAGCATCTTTCATCTGCCGCATCAATGAAAATATAAATTGGGCTTAGAAATACTAATAAATATAGTACAATATAGTTTCTGGTCATATTGGGTATAAATTGCGTTTAAAATTACAGTAAAAGCTTTCGTGTTTATAATATATGAACCTTTTTAAATGAAAAAGATATCGTTAAGATAATGTTAATTGGTTTTTTTTTCATTTTGATGCTAAATAACACAAACTAATGAATTTCAAGTTAAAATTATTTTTAATTGCGATTTTATAAAACCTACTACTACAATTTTTATTAATATCGCTATTATGTACAGGTGCGCCAAATTGAGCACTTTTAAAGGGAAACTCTTATTTCTAGTATCTAGATAGATACTCATAAACAATGCATTTGTTTTATCGAAGCGTCGTCAAAGCCCAAGAGCTTACTAGTAATTGAAAATCTTAAAAGTTTCCAAGTTGTATATTTCAAAGAAGACTTGAACGAGATATCAAGTGTGCTATATTTTTGGATAGGAAATTCTATGCTCTCGTCGAATTTGCAAAAATATATAGGATGTTCCATTTAAAAAAAGCATTTTTAAGGTAATAACTAAAATATTGCTTTAAGAAAGCTAAGCTATTCCATCAATTCTACATAAAAACTTGCTTTCGAAATGTTTTCTCTGAAAGGAAGATTTATCAATAAGAAACAAGCTATGACGACTTTTCGAAAAACACCTGTATTTCTGAAACCGTAAGAGATATCGATATGCAGTTTTCGCCATTTTCATGCAGTTTCCTCTATTTCTTATAGAAAGAGGAGTTTCCCTTTAAAAGTATCCAATTTGGTCCACCCTGTACAGTTCTTAATTGTCGAGTGGATACTGGTTGGGTTATAATAACTTGCGAATAACGTTTCGTTGGCTAATGTATATTTTTGGCTTAATTTTGAACCGCTCAGCTCGAAAACAAAAGAATTACGAGTACTACATCCTAGTAAAGTTTTTCGATTATACTCTGAATCACTCTGTATAGTACTCCATTTAGAAAATAAGCAAATGTTGAGCCATTTCCGGATTGTCTTAATTAACAACTAAAACTAGGACTAACAATAACACTAGTTCAATAAAAAAAGCAATGAATAATAACTAAAACTAGAAAGTTTCGGATTTAACTATACATCATCAGACATTTTCTAGGTTACAAAAAAATTATTCAAAATTATTTTCATATTTTTTCGTTTATTTTTACTTCATTTCTACACTATACATGACGTTTTTTTGTTTCTTCTTATTTGTGATGTTAAGATTCCCACTTTTTTGTTCATCTAGGAAAAAGTAATAACGCACGAAATAAAAACACTGATTAGTTACTTAAATACCGTTCGCGACTTACAACTTACCACTACGTCCTAAATATTATTTTTTTATTATTTATATATATATATATAATCATGTACTGTCTAAAAACGGGCTTTTTGCTCCTTATTTCTTCTTTACTTCTCCTACACTTTAGTATATTCATTCATCGTATTACAATAATAAAACCTAATGTAAACTGATATTTTTGTTATGCATTTTTATTTTTCGTTTGTTTTTACACCGATTTAAAAAGATTTAATTGATTTTTAAGAGAGATAAAGAGAGGGAGAGAGGTTTTTGATTTCGTTTAAGATTTTTTTGTGAACAACTTAGTTTTAAATAAAAATTATTTTTAATCTTACAGGTTACAAATAATTATAAATTAAATGTATCAAAGAAAATTAATAAACTGCCATCTAATATAGTATTTTTTAGTATAAACATCCTCTCTCTAAACTCAAAAATTTATAAACAGAGTTTGAGAAAGAATCTAATCGAGATAATATCACTTATTGATTCTTAAATGAATCAAAAATAAAAAAGGGGTTTGTTAGTAATTAATATAACAGGAATATTTTTATATTATATGGCAGTCTTTCTTTCTTCCTGTGGCGTAGATTTTCCTTTTCGCAAATTTTATAGGTGATCACAATGATAGAGTTATTTCTTAATTCTTAAATAGTTTTTTTTTTTTTTTTTTAGATGAGTTAAATTTGAAATTAAACTGTTTGTTTAAAGGCAGTGTTTTCAAATTTTTTTAATAAAATTAAGACAGACATTAATTTTTATTCACTTATTGACTTATTGATTACTTTATACATTTTTAATATCAATTAAAAAAGAAATAATAAAACTAATATAATAATGACGAAAAAATAAGCGAGTTGTGTAAAGAATGCAAAACAAAAACGAATATTACTATTAATTAAATTATAAATTTATCAGAGTATCTCTCAATTAACTTTTTAACTTTCTCTTTCAAACTCATTTCACTTTTTATTTCCTTTTATGCAATAAAATACGTTTAAATTTAAAATTTAAACTGTGTTTTTGTTTCAAATGGGCGTGTATTTTTATATAATAATGCGCGTGTTGTGTTTTTAATGTGTTACTAATAGTTTTATATACAAGAGATTAAAAAATATCCATCATATTAAATATATCATATATACACCTATCCTACATGTAAATATTTGTTATGTTTAATGTTTTCCTTTTTTATCCTCATTTTCTGTTTAAGTTAATCCACAAATTTTTTAACTCTCTCTTATTTTCCCTCCCACAATCATCTCTTTTCTCATCATTATCATTTTGGTTTCTTCTTTATTTCATTTTAACCGTCAATAAACACGTGCACACACTTAAAAAAAACGAAAATTTTAAACGAATACTTTCGCAAGTCCATCCGCTCCGGCACTCGCTATATATGGCCTAGATGGATGGAAAGCCACGTCTAATATACTCTCATCAAACTTCTTTCTATGAGCAGTTATTTCTTGTACGCACGTTTTATTATCCAAATTCCACAATCTAATCGAACAATCATGCGAACCTACACAATAAAATTAAATTAATCCCATAAATTTCCAAATTTTCTTTATTTTTACCTGATAATAAATAAAGTCCATTAGGATCGACGGCTAAACTGGTGACGGCGTCTAAATGTGCGACCATTGAATGAATCATTTTGCCAGTATTATTATTCCAAAACCGGATGTGACGATCATCGTGCGCGCTAATCGTCATTGGGAGTGTTGGGTGGCAAACGACGCGATAAATCTGTTTATTGGCGGCAGTTGTCGCGTTATCTTGCCCCGATTCGAAACGAACTGCGGGTTTACCCGTTTCCGTATCGAACATGACCATATTTGAACTGCTATAGGCCGCTATAATGCGGTTGGGTTCGTCTCGGACGAAATCGACGCTACACGGAACTCCATCAGTTTCCGACACGAATGTATTTAAAAGAGAACCCTAAAAAAATTTTAATTCAAAATTAAAACCATTTATAACCAATTCAATATTATTTTTACTTTAGAATGTGGTGCCCATAACTTAACAGTTCCATCTCCAGCACAAGAAACCAAATGTTGTCTAGAATTAAGCACAGATAACCCCCAAACAGCATCTGTATGTCCACTAAGGGTACAATTAAGAACTTCTGGGTCATAAAGATCATACGGATCAATATTGGAATTTGGTACGTTCCAGCAGTGAATATTTCCGTCTAAACCGCCCGAATAGCAGTGTTCTCCCGTACCGGAAATAGCCAAGCAAAGAACCTGCCCATTATGACACCGAAACGTGTATAAAGGTTCAACGTCTAAAGACGCCGATTTCTTCGCTTGAACGGTTTTTTGTAAATTCCACAATTTGAGGGTGTGATCTTCGCTAGCTGTGATCAAAACTGGCTCGGTTGGGTGAAACGCCAAAGCACGAACTCCATCGAAATGACTTCTTAGGGTGTATTTAGCATTCCAAGTTTTACGAAACGGCTCTTTACTACTAGCGATGTCGTACGTTGATTCTGCGTCGTTATTTACTGTTAATTGTGCCAGTTCACCTAATCCAAGGCTTGCGTCTAACGTTTCTTCTTCGTTCATACCCAGTTGTCGACAAGTTTTTGGACCACCTTGAAAACCTTCAATACAATTAATACAATTCTTGTTTAAGGGGTAACACCACTGTAGTCTTAGGAAACGTTAAATTAAGCTCCAAAGTAATATTCAAGCGGTAAAAAGGTTTTAAGCATAGCGATTAATATTGCTGTGTGCAATTTTAACGATGGTATGACTAATTGTCTGAGAAGTATGAGTGCGTTGGAGATTAATATTGGACCAGAAGCCTACAATTTTTGCCTTGAAGCAGAGGCAAAGCGGATAAAACTCGCCGATCGCTCGTTAACAGATGCAGCGAAAGAGGCACGCTTCAGCATTAAAGCAGCAAGAATTAATGGTGAAAAATTATATGCAGTTAATTTTTCATAACCAAAACTCATGTTCAGAATTCAAATAATAAATCACGTGCAATGTGATCAATTCAACCTATCAAAACAATAAAAACGTATCACTGGACGCAGATGAGTTGAATTATTTCTTCACAAACACCCCTCTTGACATAGTTAAGAATTTACCAACTCCTAAACAGGACCCTGTACTCATCTGTGACGTTCCAGTTATGCCTAAATGTAAAGTGAGTTTTTAAAGTGACTGATCGTGAGTTGAGGTTCGTGATATGATAAACTCATTAAAGAGTGGCCCTGCAAGGGACTGCTTTGGATTCTCTGGCAGTCTTATAAAGAGAACTATCAACCCATATATATCTCCCCATTAACTAAACTTATAAATTGTTCTCTAAAGGAAGGCAGATTTCCGGACCTTTTGATATCTGCACGGTCTTTAAAAATAGTATTAAAGAGGATATCAAAAATTACCGTTCCATAAGCATCCTGCCAGTGTTCTTGAAAGTATATGAAAGGATTATCTATAATAGGATCACAGATTATCTGGAGGGGCAAAATATGTTATTTGGGGGCCAATTTGGTTTTTGTATGGTGTCTAAGATAAGTAAAAATATTTATTTACTGCGCAGACTTGCTGCAGGTGTATCGCAGAGTGTGGCTAAAAACGCGTCCTAAGCATTTGTTCATTTATCACTTAATTATTCAATTCTAGCATGGGGTGTAGATCCTGGGAGTGAACAAATGTTTAAAATACAACGTAGGGCTGTGCAAGTTTTGGCGGGAATTGCTTATAGGGACGATTGTCGACCTGTATTTGTCAAGCTATCCATTTTAACTCTACCATCTTTATATATACTGCGTTGTATTATGTAGTTATGTTCACGGGAAATGCACACTCAAGGTCAAACGCTGTTGTGAGATCCGACATGCCGCTGGATTAACGGGCTGATCCGAGCGCACACGAAGCTCATGGGCGTTTGGCTCCGCTCGTTTAGCCAGCCGAGCCAGCGGCATGTCGGTTCTCACAACAGCGCTTGACCTTGAGTGTGCATTTCCCGTGAACATGACTGTACATTGTAAAGAATCGGAATGGGCTCAGAGAACACTCTAACATTCATTCCCACAACACTCGAGGGAAAGAAAATCTATGCCCAGCATTTCTCCAGCTGGCGAGGACCCACGACGGTTATAGTTTTATTTAAAGATAATGCAGAAGTTCTTAAACGGGAAAATAACGCTTATTTTCCGCAAATACAGCATACATGCGCTACATCATTGTAATATGCTCTTTTCAGTAACTTCATAATCAAGTATAGTTTGTATTAAAAAAAAATACAAGTTTGTGTTGTATCTCAAAAATCGCCAAGTATGTTTAAAATTTTACCCCATTTCTCTAATTTCAAAAATAAACGAAATATGAGCATTTTTTGAAATCACGAAAACTTGACATTTTGGCTATAACTTGAAAACAAAAGAAGATAGAGGTTTGATGTTTGCGGGATTGGATTAGTCTCGAAAAACATGGAACATGGCACCTACTTTTTTTGTATCTCTTATAGTTTCTGAGATAGCCTATAATAAGACCCAAATTTGCCCACCCTGTATATTAAGACATCTTTTTTCGTTTTATTCCGATTTAATTTGCAACTTCTACACTGCGTGCTGCAAAACGTCTCCAATTTTACACAATTTACGGGATTGACTTCAACCTCGCCATTCTGTATTATTTCTGTAGTAAAAAATTTTTTTTGTGCTCTTCAATGTATGTTTGAGAACATACCACAGGTGTTTCTAAATTGATGTGAAAGATATCAAGGGGTGATTTTTCAGCAAAAATTATATCAAGGTTTATATAACTTTTTGTTCAAAACCCCTTCTCGTCAAGTTGTAAATCTGTCTAATCTCTTGACATTTTGCAACTAACAAATTGTTAGTTTGATCACAAAAATTAAACTAATGCTGAACTATTATTTGATATAACTTCATTTTTTGACTACTAATAACCAATCTCTGACTTAATTCACTTGAAAATTATTTCTGTATTATTAAATTTGGTAACATGCTTGATAACATACAGGTGTTTCTAAATTGATGTGAAAGATATAAAGGGGTGATTTTTCAGCAAAAATTATATCAAGGTTCATATAACTTTTTGTGCAAAATCCCTTCTCCTCCAAGTTATAGGCCTCTAAAGTTAAGGGAAAAATCTGCAACTTTCTTATCTCTTGACATTTTGCAACTAACAAAGTGTTAATTTGATCACAAAAAATAAAATAATGCTGAGATCAATTTGACATAACTTCATTTCTATGACTAATAATAACCAATCTCTGAATTAATTCACTTGAGAATCATTTCTGTATTATAAATTTTTTTGTGTGCATTTCAATGCATGCTTGAGAATATACTACAGGCGTTTCTGAATTGATGTGAAAGATATCAAGGGTGATTTTTCAACAAAAATTATATCAAGGTTCATGTAAGTTTTTGTTCAAAACCCCTTCTCCTCCAAGTTATAGGCCTCTAAAGTTAAGGGAAAAATCTGCAGCTTTCTTATCTCTTTACATTTTACAACTAACAAATTGTTAGTTTGATCACAAAAACTAAAATAATGCTAAGATCAATTTGACATAACTTTATTCCTTTGATTAATAATAACCAATCTCTGAATTAATTGACTTGAGAATCATTTCTGTATTATAAAATTTTTTTGTACTCTTCATTGTATGCTTGAGAACATACTACAGGTGTTTCTAAATTAATGTGAAAGATATCAAGGGGTGATTTTTCAGCAAAAATTATATCAAGGTTTATATAACTTTTTGTTCAAAACCCCTTCTCCTCAAGTTGTAGATCTGTCTAATCTCTTGGCATTTTGCAACTAACAAATTGTTAGTTTGATCACAAAAATTAAACTAATGCTGAACTATTATTTGATATACCTTCATTTCTTTGACTAATAATAACCAATCTCTGACTTAATTCACTTGAAAATTATTTCTGTATTATAAAATTTGGTACCATGCTTGATAACATACAGGTGTTTCTAAATTGATGTGAAAGATATCAAGGGGTGATTTTTCAGCAAAAATTGTATCAAAATTGTTCATACAATTTTTTGTGCAAAATCCCTTCTCCTCCAAGTTATAGCCATCTAAGGTTATGGGAAAAATCTGCAACTTTCTTATCTCTTGACATTTTGCAACTAACAAATTGTTAGTTTGATCACAAAAAATAAAATAATGCTGAGATCAACTTGACATAACTTCATTTCTTTGACTAATAATAATAACCAATCTCTGAATAATTAATTCTTTTGAGAATTATTTCTGTATTATAAAATTTTTTTGTGCTCTTCAGGTGTTTCTAAATTTATATGAAAGATATCAAGGGGTGATTTTTCAGCAAAAATTGTATCAAGGGGTGTCTTTCATATAAGTTTTTGTTCAAAACCCCTTCTCTTCCAAGTTATAGCCCTCTAAAGTTAAGGGAAAAATCTGCAACTTTCTTATCTCTTGACATTTTACAACTAACAAATTGTTAGTTTGATTACAAAAAATAAAATAATGCTGAGATCAATTTGACATAACTTCATTTCTTTGATTAATAATAACCAATCTCTGAATTAATTCACTTGAAAATCATTTCTGTATTATAAATTTTTTTTGTGCTCTTCAATGTATGATTAAGAACATACAGGTGTTTCTAAATTGATGCGAAAGATATCAAGGGTGATTTTTCAACAAAAATTATATCAAGGGGTGTCTTTCATATAATTTTTTGTTCAAAACGCCTTCTCTTCCAAATTATAGCCCTCAAAAGATAAGGGAAAAAATTTCCAACATTCTTATCTCTTGATATTTTACAATTAACAAATTGTTAGTTTGATCACAAAAAATAAAATAATGCTGAGATCAATTTGACATAACTTCATTTCTTTGATTAATAATAACCAATTTCTGAATTTATTCACTTGAGAATCATTTCTGTATTATATATTTTTTTGTGCTCTTCAATGCATGATTAAGAACATACAGGTGTTTCTAAATTGATGCGAAAGATATTAAGAGGGTGTCTTTCATATAACTTTTTGTTCAAAACCTCTTCTCCTCCAAGTTATAGCGCTTTAAAGTTAAGGGAAAAAATCTGTCTAATCTCTTGACATTTTGCAACTAACAAATTGTTAGTTTGCTCACAAAAAATAAAATAATGCTGAGATCAATTTGACATAACTTCATTTCTTTTACTAATAATAACCAATCTCTGAATTAATTCACTTGAGCCTGTGTATTATTTTATTTTTTTGTGATTAAATTAACAAATTTATGTGAAATTGTCAAGAGACAAAAAAGTTGCATATTGAATCCCTCTATTTAAATCAAGTTTTTAAATAGAAAAATGTAGACACATTAAATTGTAATAACATTAGTTTAAATTTCATTCTTCTAAATTCCTCCATAGTGGATTTATTAATTCAGTGGATTTGCGCTTTATTTTAGATTTCTACAGTGGTGTTACCCTTTAATAATAAAAATAATTTACTTTTTGCCTCCTTCCATTTGATACTTTCAAATGATGACTTCTCATTTTGACGATGATCAACAGCCTCTGATAACAGATTCAGTTCGTTTAATACTTCCATTGCTTCCGCATCGACGTCGTCTCCTAGAGAATCCAATTTTCCTAATTAAAAAATTTTTTTTTAATTTAAATCTTTATTTTTCCGCAATAAATTTACCTTTTCTTTTCACTGATTTAACATCATCATCAATATCGTCACGGACTTCAACATCATCATCGTTGATGTCATCATCATCTTCCATATCAACATCAGTATTGGTTAGAAAATCCAAATTAACCATAACCGCAGCTTCTGTTTCTAACATCATAGCTTCGGCTAATGAACTTGGTTGGGTTTTTTTAGCTGGGGTTCTTCTTCCTGATAATATCAACATATTTATTAATACCTTTATTAATTTTATATTGAAATTAAATTTTTACCTTGACTCTCACTGGCTCTTTTATTTGATTCATTCCCATTCAATGATCCCCCATTAACATTCTCTTCTTGTTCCTGATTATTATTTAGACCTAAAAGCGCTCGAACTTTGGTTGATCGAACATCAATAATTCGATCCGTATATCCGATTTCTTGAAGGTACTGCCGAAGAAGTTGCCGCCCCTGACGCCACGAAGGGTGATTCGCTGTGATGGGTAAATCGGCGTCGACTTGGGAATCGACGTTATTACCATCGTCTAAAGCAGACGGTCGCATCTCGCCTTGATTTAAATCGACGCCGTATTTTAATTTGTGGTATTTCGCCCGTTCTTGTTTTAGAGCATATTCAAGCATTTTTATACGTCGGACAAGATCATTTTTTAAATTTTCTTGACCTTTACGCTCTCCTTGTAAAAATGCAATACGAGCCTAAGAAAAAAATACAAAAGAAATAATTTGACATTTCGTAATTTTAGGTTATGTTAAAACGTCAAATTTGACATTTAATAATTTTAAGTTGTCAAATTTGACAAATTTTTGGATTTGCAAATTTAACTTCTTTTCAATAAGAACGAATTTTACTAATTTAATGAATAAAAAGAATTCCTTGTTTCAATACTTAGCGGTATAAATTATGTGTCATTGTTAAGGGAGCCCAAAAAAAAGTATCACAACTAACCGTTTTTTTAGATCGATTTAAATTATTTAAAATTACAAAGACAATAAAAGCCTATTTATATTTACCTGTAATTCGGCTCTATCTACTTCCCATTGAGACCGTTCGAGTTCAAATCTAGCCCATTCGTGTTGGATGAAATGTAAAATACCCGGGATCGAATACTGAACTTGGGCCGGGTTCGGTTGGTCCGTGGGTTTCGTATTGTTAACAACCGATGCGCCTTGGGGTCCCATTTGCATTTGGGCCCCATTTTCACGAATCGAAGTCTCCTCCATCGTCGTCGTCGTCGTCGGATTTCCGTGCACCTTCATATGTCCACCATTGCGACTCGGGAAAACGCCATTTTAAATTGGTTCAAACGATCTCCGCACCCCCCGCGAAAATTAACCGAAATTTTCCAAAACCTTATTAAGTCCACCGTTATCAAAACCAAGACTCCGGCGCGAACCCAAACGCGATAAACGCCCGGAAACTATGAAAACATAAATTTCGTCAAAGAAAATTTCGCGTTCAAGTCGCCATTAAAAGAACGGAATTGTGTTGTCTTTGTCACACCTAAAGGGATTGTATTTGTTGTCTTTATTTAGTGAATAAGACGGTAACCCCACCAAAAACTAATTTAACGAACGTATTCAAAATCTAAAAGTTAATGAATTTATTAAACAATCAAATTTAATAACACTTTAATTAATTCAGATTAAAGATCATTTCAAATTGTTACAATACATTTAAAATTAAAGTGATATTAAAAAAGTTTCGGTAAAATTTTAAGTTTAATAAACAGATGGCGCTATTACTTTCAAATTCAATTATTAAGTAATTCATTCAATTCGATTCAATTTATTTAAATTAATTAATTTTAATAAGCACGCAAAACTTAAAATTAATAAAACACAATTACAACATAAATAAATTTTAAAATGATTAAAAAAAAATCATTTTAATTTGATTAAAAGATGGCGCTGTTAACCACAAAACGCAAAATTATTGTTTAGGTTAAAAATGATTTGTTAATTTATTAAAACACAGATTAAAAGTTAAAACGGTATCAGAGATAAATTCGAGTCCACTTAATGTATTTCAAAAAAAGGTGAAAAACAATTCACAACAAAATCACTACTATAATCTCATTTTTTTATCGTGCACTTAGTACATAAATTTCATCAAACACTGTTGCAGCTTTAAACAAATAAAACGTGCATACAAAAGCATAAGATAATTAATTCCTTTTAATCCCCAACAAATAGTGAACCGATAATAAAAGTTGTTTCGTTCGATAAAAATTTAGTGGTCGGACATTACTCCTTGAAACGGGGAGAAAAAAAGAGTGAACTGAAAACGAGTGTTGAGGAAGTGATTGTGTTTGTTTACATAGAAAGGGACATTTATAAATGATTCCTAAATTCAAAACTACAAAAAAATGACCATTTTAGCACAATTTTATTTTAAAACTATCCTTGTTTTTGTTATAATCCTTAAATTCTCCCGTTTAATAGTGTCAACATCTGTACCAGAAGATTGGCCCCATATTTCTATCTTAGACGACCGTTACAACATTGCGATAAACGCTTTTATAAATTTAACACAACTGGTTGATGACAATAAATGGGTACAAATTGGAGGAGTTGAAGAGCATGGACGTTTTGGTACAGGACATGTGGGCCCCACATTCGGTCAACTGGTCCATATTAAATCAGCTGAAGACAATAAAGATCACACAGCTTGCACCTTACCACTACTAAACTCAAACAGTTTTTATGGGGCGTTTCCCAACAAACCATGGATTGCACTTATTAGCCGAGGAGGATGCAATTTTGATAAGAAAATAGTGAATGCTTATGAAATTGGCGCCCGTGGAGTTATTATTTACAATAATGTGGAAAAGGAAGTTTTAGAAGTGATGAGTCTTAGTCATAATAGTAAGTTTTTTTTTACTTTGTCATTAATTCTAAGAAATTTAAAAAAATTAATCTTGATAAAAAAAATTTGAGGTTATACTAGTTTATCAATTTTAATTAAATATTCTGCCTGTTGCATAAGTATTTTCAAGAACTATGCAAATTTACAAAAAAAATTTCGCAAAAAAACGAAATATTTTAATTTTTAACTTATGATTTATAAAGGTATATACAGGGTGTGTCAAATGTCTGGAATATAGCCAATATCTGCGCCATTTGTGGTTTTTCGTTATTTTTTTCTGATTACAAAAATATAGGATTCGACAGGTCTATTTCTTATTGTTTTAGAATAAAGACAAAATATAACTTTTTTATAAAATTTCTAAACGCGCAGCCGAAATCTAGTGTGGTCGAAGAAATGAAATTTACAGTTTCCTGTAAATTAGGGGTCGGTAGGTAAAATCTAAAAAGTTAATAATTAAATAAGAAGATAACTTCTGACATTTAAAAACAAATAATTATGTTTATTATGGAAATATTTAAATTGGATTGTAAAAAGTTTTTTTTTTAATTTTTAGTTTTAGTACCGTAATTTACAGGAAACTGTAAATTTAATTCCTTCGAGGACACTAGAAAAAAATTTATTTTTAGCTAGATACACAAATTACACAATCCACAGTGTATCCACAATATTAAAAAAATTCTTTAACACCGGAAGCGTTAAAAACCTTCCAAAAAGTAGCCGGCCGAACATCATTAATTTTTCATAATTGTTAAAACTGTCATTTTTTTGACATTTAAAGCTTTCAACGGCGTTATTTCGGAGCCTACTTTGATTGTAATTTGCTGATTTAATATTTTCAGAAAACACATTTTTTTTCGCTTTTTTTCTTATACAACCGTATGATTTAATGTGTTTATCGCATAGAGGGATTTATCCTCTATCGAAGTATGCAAAAAAAACATATGCATCCCATTTAAAATAACAATGTTGGTTGCCATAGCAACAAAACAAAAAAACCTTATAAAAAAACTTGTATTTGAAACATTTTTCATTAAAACTACAAATGGCGAAGTTATTGGCTCTTTTCCAGACATTTGACACACCTGTATATTGAGATGATTCATATATTGATTAATATTGAAGTAACAGTGTTTATTTCATCTAATTGATGCGCCAAATATATACTTGGCTTACTCGTCGTTCGTTACGTACCTATTAAGTTTGCACCAGCGGTTTTTGGGTAGGAGTCAAAGGATTAATTATATTGAACATTCGACGTTGACAAGTTTATAAACACTCCGTCACGTGGTACATGCTAATATGCGAATGCCCAATTCCGTGTAATTCCCAAGATGTTTATCTATCAACCTGTAGTACAGGACTTGGAGGGTTTGATCGCGCACGTATTAATTTGGCTTGCTTTTGAAGCAGATATTAGCCCAACATACATCCCTTTAGCACAAGTTTTAAAGTTACCCGTATTGCGAAATCGAAGCTAACATATTAGTAAGCCACGTGACTTGGGTATGCGTAAATTAGAAAAATCGTGATTAACTATCGCATAAAATGCACCTTTTTGTTTGTTGAAATTGTTCTATGGTCTATGGGTTGGGTAGGGTTGGTGCAGATTGTTCTGGCTGACCTTTATAATTCTTAAGAACATCTTTCCCATATTTTGGCATGTAGGAAATTTTATCTCGAATTTCCATACTCTGTCTGAGTATGGAAATAACATTTCAACAAATGTTGAAATGCATCGTTGTAGTTGAAAATCTACCTGGCATTGCGCAACGATCAGAACATTTTTGAATATTTGAGATCCTAGTAAACAAAACTAACCTTACGTAACATTCTTTCACGGTTTAATTGACATTTTAAAAGAAAAGTAACCTTACCCAACATTTTTTCCAGGAGTGATTGACATTTGTAAACAAAACCAACCTTACCTTAGTATTAGTTGTGATGAATCCGGTGTTTTTGCAAACACATCTCGTAAAATGAGTTAAATGGGAGAAGCAACATTTATGTATCTATATCACAAGGGCTGCATTTTCAAGGGTAAATTTCCTGGATATATATACCCGGGGTATTTACCCAAGATGGGTATTTAGAGGTATTTATAGAATTTAATTTAAATTGAGTTGTTGGCAGTTTTGCAAGCACTTCAAGAATGCAGAGTCGGTTATCAATACACTAAACTTGTTTATAACATCTACAAGAATGCTACAATGACGGTAAAATCGCATAAAAGTACTGAAGAGAGTAGAAGTAGTAAAATACTGATTGCTAGTAAAACAAGGCGATACAATGTTCAACTCAAATTGTTCATCACAGTCCTGGAGAATGCATTTAAACAACTGGATTGGATCCAAAAAAGCATAAACATTGATGGCAAATACCTAAGTAATTTACGCTACGCGGATAATATAGTTCTTATTTTGGATAGATCAAAATGGATAAAAATTTATGACAAATCTTGTTCCCAAGTCTACCATCAACATTGGGGATAATGAGATTGCGATGGAACAATCGTCTTCAAATAAAACCTGTGTACAATCTGTACAAGATAAAGGGACATCGTTTATGTACAAAATGAAATGTTCCCCTGAGGGACTGCATATTGCACTGGGAGGAGAGACGAGTAGCCTATTATTCCTTGACCACTTTAAAAGCTGCTGCCTACCAGACAGGTAATTTTGAATCCACGCTAATGCTGGGCCTCGAATACCATATCGACTCAATTTTTCTAAGAGCAGTTGGTGATGTAAAGTATCAAACGCTCTAGACTCTAGACAAGTCAAAGAATAGGCCACAACAGACAGACCGAGCATCCAGACCCTCCACTACAGATGCATAAAAATCCAAAATAGCATTAATTATATTAATACACTTGTTAATGAATCGTAAAGAACACGATAGTGAATAAGATGATGCCAAGATTTTGTACTTCGCTGTTTTGTAAGAGATAGCCCATGCATCTGGTCCAGATTCTTCGCTTGTTAGTAATTGAACGATGTTCTTTGTGTTAGGACTTAAGAGTATTTAGCACTTCTTCCGCAGTCTTCTCACTACTTCTCTTATATTGTGAAGCTGATCACTTCAGTAATGAAAGACCACTCTGCCTAACTTTCTGAAATTTGGTATGTTATTGTTAATACTTCTCTGCTTCCATCTGTACACTTTTCTTGATTAATTCCATTCAGGTAATATCAAAATTACTCCTAATAATGAATAATTTTTCCTAATAATTCTAAGTGTATAGGTGTATACTGAGTAAATCATGATTTAATTATCGCAATAGTGATTACTCTATAAAGTTTTATCATTTCATCGTTGTCTCTCGTACTCTCTCTCTTGCGCAGGCAAAAACAAAACGACAACACCACACACAACGATACGCTCCGTGCGCATTAAATACGGCCAAGAACAAAGCGAAGTCACACGGAGGGAGCCTAGAGAACGGAGTCACCACACCAGTTGCTTGCGAGACGGTCTCCGTAGCGGTATCCGTGCGCTCCTAAACTCTACTCCCATAAAGAATTAAAAAGTTTTATGTTAAAAATTAAACAGAAAATATAGGAATGTGAATCAACAAAGCAAAAATAATTAATTATCAACATGTTGTGTCTTTTCAAAATCAGTTTTATTTTAATCTCATCGTTTTCTTATGCGTTATCAACAATAAATGATGATTGGGCATCATCTTCACAGAGTTCTTCGTCTGAATCTGTTGGTGCAAGTGGTGGAACTTTTACCAAAGCTTACATAAATATAACTCAAAAAGTGTACGATGGAAAGTGGATTTGGGAACGTGACGAGTACGGTCGTTTTGGTAGTGGTTACGTTGGTCCAGCTAAAGGGATTTTGATTCACGTGGCCGGGAAAGATCGTCCCCAGGATCATACCGGGTGTACGATTCCTTTGTTGAATAGCGGCCACGAGAACGGGTCGTTGCCATCCGGGGCCGACGAACCGTGGGTGGCCCTTGTAAAACGCGGCAGATGCAACTTTCAAATCAAAGTCGATAATGCTTTTAAAAGCGGGGCTGTTGGGATTATAGTTTATAATGATCGGGAATCAACCAATTTGGATCAAATGAAATTGCCCAATGATAGTGGAAGTAAGTCAAAAAAATACTTCTATGTTTTATTTTTTTATAATAAAGGAAGATTGAAATTATGATGCTTTTCTTGGAGCTTCGTGTTTGTTTTGAAATTTAAATTTGCAAATAATTAATCGAAAAACATCATAAATAATGTATAAAAATAAATTGTACATCAAAGAAAACATCTTTAAAAATTTACATTTATTTTTACAGATGTTTCGAAACATGATTTCAAATTTTTTAATTTAATGTTTTTGTTATTTTCGTACACAAATTGGAAAACAAAATACGATAAAAAAATAAGTTTGTTGTTAAAATATACTTAATATTAATAAACAGATACTTTTTTTTATACTTATAATCCGAGATTAGATAAAAACACATCACCTCGTTTTTCCTATTATTTTACTTAAAATATCTCGTCAAACAATTCGCTTACGCATTATTTAAAAAAAGAATTTGTCAAAAATTACATAACTTCAAAATGATTTGTCAAAAAATTGCACAAAAAATTATTTTGAAACAAATTAATCATTTTTATCAATATTAAAACTGCGTCGCCGTTGTGTTATAAAACAGCGATACCTTGAATTACAACAAAAATATACGTAAAAGGAATTAAAAGTGCGAATAATTTGACTGTTTGGTTTTGCTGTGTTGATCTCACGTCTGGAATACGAAACGATTTCTCTATTGATAAATCTTTTTATCGACTTCCTGTATCTGATTCGAATCAATACGGATAAGGTGGTCAAGGATGACCTTAGATACAACTTATTTAGACAAAGACCTTTAAGAATTTATTTGCATAAATCATTATGAGAAAAAAATGTCAAAAAGAAATTATCTGATTTTAAACTTTATTAGTTTTAATAAAAATTTGTTACTTTTATACTTTTATATATAAATAAT